CAATTTTTGACATCGAATTTTATACACCGAATTTTTTGACATCGAATTTTTTGACGTCGAATTTTTGGGATCTGAATTTGAACATTCGAATTTTTTTCACTTGAATTTTTACATTTTTATTTCACATAGGTAAATTCGGAGCAAAAACATTCAGATACATGATTTTAAAAGTAATTATTTTCAATGCTATAAATTCGGTGTCTAATACAATTCGAATACTTCTGTCTCTTGTTTGCTTCCATACCACGTCTGTAGCAGCAAGCTGATTTCCATGTGCTCTCTTCTCGAGTTGAATATGATGCATTATTTGAGTAAATTATGATTTATATTTATTTGGTGATTATGTTTATTGATAGCTTGTTTAGGCTTATCTGGCTAAAGCAATATTTGTATTTGTTTGTTACAGAGTATTGTAGCTCTTCCTGATTTCTTGTGTTTATATCCTAGCCTTATCATCATCATAACCATCATCACCACCACCATCATCTACATCAACTCTCAACTGCATGTGAAGAGAATAAATGGTTAAACTGCTATCACCGTGGGTCCTCATATACTTTGACTGGTATGCCAATGCAGAGGCACTTCAGGCAACTCTCCCTAAAATTATAAGTCTAGTTTTTACATGGACATGTAAACATGGACACTAAAGAAGAGAACCTGCCCAAACGAGTCAAGTTCCGACTGTCCGTGGCGACAGACATGCTCTTCGGGCGTCCTCTTGCAAGCTGCGGGTTTGGCAAGTAGTCTTTAGTGAAGTGTCCAACAATGATCTTCGCCATACACTGCCTGGGGAAAAGAGGTATCCTGCCGCCCCATGAGGAACACATTTGGGGTCACAGCGGGGATGGACTCTGGAGGCAGGCCAAGGCGGTGGAACTCTGGAGGACGGGCAGGAAGACGGCGGGACCCCTCTGGAGGACGGCCTGGAGGATGGTCGGACCACGTCGAAGAATGGCCTGTAGGACGGCCTGTAGGACGGCCTGTAGGACGGTGAGGCCGCTTTGAAGGACGGCAGGACCTATTAGAAGTGTGTGTGTGTGTATCCTACCCCCTGACTGGATCTTCTGTTCCTTTTAGTTTTCTTTTTCCTATCCGTGGTTTAATGATCAGGAGGAAAGCTAGTTGACGTTAGCTGCACCCACCCGTCCGTTGCTGCACCCACCCTCTGGAACTCACTACCCCAATCCATCAGAGATTCTTCCTCCCTCACAGCATTCAAAACATCACTCAAAACCCACCTGTTCAACACTGTATTCAACCACTGACCCCCCCCCCCCCCCCCCCCTTATTTTCAGTTTTGTTATCTCTTTTTGTATTTTTCTTTGTTTTGTTTTTTGTTTTGTTTTTTATTCTCTGTCAAAGCCTCTTTGAGTTTCTTAAAAAGTGCTATACAAGTCTAATGTATTATTATATTATTAGCTGTTAGGACCCATAGTGCCCAATGCTCTTTAGGTAAAAAAGAGTATTGGACAAAAAAGGAAATTGTAACGTTGTCATGGTGTGTTACATGTAGTCATGTAAAATGCAATTTTTGGTATGAATACAAAAAAAATCTGAGAAATATAAAAAAAGATACTGAAGGGTGAATTATTATTATTTCAAAAAATAGCCCTAACTGTTTAATAAAACCTAATTTATACACACTACGAGATGGAATACTTTATTGTGTAGTCTACCTATAAGATGTGTGAGGGATTAATTTTGTCTTTACTCCCAAGTGTCAAAGAATAATTCTCCTTACTCCTAAGATATTTGACCTTTCGGTCTGTTGACGTTTACGACGAAGCCGAAGTCTGTTATCTGTCTTAAGGAATGGGAAGTTTCACCTATTACTGACATTATGAGTTTTATGACCGGTCAACTCTCGGTCACAAGAGCCATAAAGTCAAGTAAGTAATTCAGTACCTCCAGGTGGTCACTACACCTTCCCCCAATATGTGAGTTGACTGAGTGAAGCGAATTAAAGGTCTGCCAAGATGAGAAGGGATTCAGAATTGACATGGCAACCCACCGGTGCAGTCAGAACTTTCTGCTGCTGTGATTTGTGATATGAATTCTCCGGCCGATGCGTGTAATAAACTGCCAGTGTTTGACATCAGAACTCCTGCTCGTCCCGTGTCTCTCTGAGTCCTCACTCTCCATTGCTACAGAAGTTTCCCTTACAAGATGCATATATTTTAACAAGTGTATTTTGCAATGTTGGTTGGCATTGTGTATAGTAACTAATACGAATGTATGTATCCTGGGGGGTGCTGTAGCTCAGTGGATAGTGTGCTGGACTTCGAATCAGGGGATAGCAAGTTCGAGCTAGTGCTAGCTCGAACTGTGAAGTGTCCCTGGGCAAGACACTTCACCCCAAATTGCTCCTGTTGGGATTGTCCACAGTACTGAATGTATGTAAGTAGCTTTGGATAAAAGTGTCTAACAAATGACATGTAATGTAATGCAATGTATCCATTAATTAAGCCTGGTTGCAAGACGCAACATCTTGCAAGAAACAGCGTCTCAGGGCTTCTTAACATTTAACAACCTATTAATGTGTCATACCCACTTAACGGGAAGAAACTCAGCTAACAGACGATATTAACCATTTTTACCTAAACGAAACACAAGTCTAACACCAAGCGTCTAAATCAGCACTTAGCGAAAACAGGCTAACGAGCTAACGACTACTTAAGCACATAACTGGCAAAGCGATCTTTTCTACTTCATGCTATCTGAAAAAACGATATATCATATGAAAGCTGAGATTCCACAGATGCCATATGTATAAGACCAAAACTCACTGAACTAGCAGCCAGGAAAGGGCAAGAAAACAACTTCCGGTTTCAAATCCATAACAATAAATACGTCTTTCCTTTTGCAGCATAAAAACGCTGCTGAAGGTTAATCCAATGTCTTTGTGTCACTTTGAAAATGATTACTGATAATCCATCATTACATTTAGTGTAATAAACGTGGTATAATGCCGCCGGAGCGTGTCAGAGTCATTCTAACTGACCAATGGTAATGTTTACATGGATTTATGAACTGCCCCTCGATTCTATTGGCTCTAGATGTTACAAAGAGGTGTCAATCACCCAATTTGACCAATGGGTTCCAGAGATACAGCCCTACGTAATGCATAGGCCTGACTGGCAGCTCACGCACAATTACGCATGTGGCCAAAAAGGGGATAGAGGACGTCAGGCTGAACTTTCCAAAAAGGTCAAAAACAGTTGCATTTGGATGGAATGAATACCTATAGTGATATTTCAATGAAATAAAATGAGTTTTACAGTGTGGTACCTGAGAAAGGTCAAATGGCACTGATGGTAACCAAATGTACCCAAAGGTGAGTACGCCTGGACCTACCTGTGCCAAAAATATTAGCACTAATTTAGCATCTATCTTGACACAGGGTACTTATGATATATTGTGGTTTGGATCCCTAAAGGTTTTGGGCTCCTATCCCATCATTCAAGGGTGGTTTTCACTACAAATAATGTGGTTTCTTTAGGTGGAGATTAAAATTTACATTTGTTTTACTATTTTCCATCTGAATGTACTCTGACACAGCAACATCTAAATTGATTCTGACACTTCTACAGCCAACTCACAGGTGTATCATTGCTTTGATAAAAAACATTATTCAAATGCCCCTTTTAGAAGTGAAGAGTCATTCATTCTGGGCATGTAATTTTCTAGCCTGAGGCCTGAAGGGCTTAACAGGTTAAGAGTAAGGCACAACAGTGCTTTAAATAAACTGCTAATTTGCTCACATAAGCTTGTCTGAACTAAATATCATTGAAATCTCACCCATGTGTGTCCAAAGGGTTCGGACACACATTTTGGGTTCGGACACCCATTTTGATAAAGTTAACCACGTCCGAAAGAGATTGGTCGAGTCAGTTCTGAGACATTAGCTCTGGGTACCATTTGAGACCCTGACCTTCTCTTGGTAAGTCCACCCATGGCAAAAGGTTGGAGAGCTTTTGTCCCCTTTAAAGGGTTTACTGACGATGGGTATAGCAATGTGTGACTAGCTGGAATTGGGCAAAGTCCCAGCAAAAGCATGAGTCATCAACATCACCACAAGTCTGTTTACCAACACTTCCTCTCTCCTACTGAAAGGTGGCCTGCAACCACCTCACCCCAATATAAACCAATCATCTTTACATCTGTTTACATGGCTGGTTGACACACACACACACACACACACACACACACACACACACACACACACACACACACACACACACACACACATGGTTGAAATAAAGATGCACTCAGGCAACATTAGGATTATAATTTGATTGACAAAATGGTAATATGTGTCTTAAGCGTTTGATGCGGCTGACGGTCAGTTAGTAGAAAGGCAGTCAGGTCTTCTGCTAATCTACATGACGGCCAGTCAGCCTGACAGACTACAGACTTCATTTATGGAGCAAACCAGTCTGAAGCTCCATTTTACAAGTACAGTGGCGCTCTCTGCTGGTAAGATATAAAAGAGTGTCCATATTATGTCCACATTTTCAGACAAGAAAGTGGGAATACATTTTTAAATAAAAGCTTTATCTTTCACAATTATTGGGTTTTTCTTGTTTCACTTTGGGACTTTTTTTAAATGTATCTTTTGATATGTGTTCTATATTGCCTTTGTATGAATGTCCTGTCCGTCTCTGTGTATTAAATTGCTGTTTTGGTTTTAAACTGGTTTCTCTCAAGAATGAGACCCTGTGTCTCAGTGAGATTACTTGTCTAAATAAGGGTCCAAACTAATTTATAGAGACATTGCCCAGTTGCTCCTGTCTGTTGAATCAGTACCAAATAGGCTTACAGTTTTGTAAGATTGTCTCGTTTTTTTCTAAAACTTGGGCTAGGTGTGGCCCTATTCTTACCCTCTGAGATTTCTCTTGGGATTGGGCAGCTGACTCGCACATGTTTATGTCAACCCTCCCTCGATCAACGCCTCTGACTGACACTCAATTCTTTTTTTGTTTTTTCATTCCCAGACACCTGTGCTCAGCTGTCAGACCGTTCAGAGTGTGACTCTGCTGCCATTTCTGCCGAGGAACAACAAGCTCTGTGACAAAGGCTCCCTGAAGCTGCCTGGAGGGACCCCAAATGTCGAGGCAGGTAGGTCCTTATTTCTTTCAGGTTCAAAGGTTGGGCTTCATCACGAGAGAGACTAGCCAGGGGGAAAATTGTAACATCAGCCCTTTTCTCTTTGTGTATTTCTATGCACTGTGTATCCATCTGTCTCTCCAGTGGCTTTGCTTCATCTATTTATAGGGCTGCTAGGACATTAGCTCAATGTCCATGTAGAAATGTCATGTAAGACATAAGAGCTTCACAGCATTCATTTATAAATGTGAAGGTCAAGAAACGGCTTACATTTTTTCATAAACTAAGGAAGTTGACCTTTTAGCTGTGTCATTTTGTGCAGCCAATGTGAAATGCTTGAGACTGTGGATATAACTTTTACAAAGTGAAGAATAGTGATAAGAACAGCTGTAACGACATTTTGACCCATTGAATCACACTGTTGTGGGATGGTAACAATGTACCAACAATCCATATATTGAAGTGGCAGCCAAGTTCGAACAAAAAGCTTTGTGTAATTAATATGTACATTTGTATATCTGCTGAATAATTAGAAAACAAATCACTTTTGAGCCGCCGTCATCTTCTGCCCTCTCGTTCCCTCAGGCGAGGGATGGAAGAAAGCTATGAGACATTTGAAGAGGAGTTAGGGCCATCAACAGCAGATCCTCCTCCACAGAAGCCTGTTCGACAGATCCGCAGACCAGGTGGCCACACACACACACGCACGCACACACACACACGCGCACGCGCACACACACGCACACACACACACACACCATATCTGTAATGCCTGCACATAAAAGCCATCATCCATTGTGCATATATTGTTCGACTCTATAAATACTTGGAGCTAGGAGCAGCAGAACAGGGAGCCGCTGAAATATGACTCCTGGTCAGAGGCTACAGTGATAATGCAGCCATGCTAAATGGATGGTGGGTGTAATCAGATTCAATCTCTCCAAACACACACACAAAGTCCTCCTTGTGAGGAAGAGCTCTTAAATGTCTGAAAGGATGGGAGAATGTATTTTTATTTGGCAGCACTTTGGTCCAGACGGAAATAATTATTTAGTCTTTTGAGGTCCCCAGGGGAAGAATCGTAATGATTTTATGTAGGGCCAATTTAATTTGCCCAATACTTTAATTTTCCAATACGTAGGTTGATGATACAATATCTGCAAAACTTCTGTATATTTCTTCACCTTCACTTTCTTTGTTTTTAGTGCTAATTTGATAAATAATTAAACCTTTAACCAACACGTTGGTCAAACAAAGTAAAACACTCTTTATAGGGACAATAATCATTTAGATTCCTATCAAATAAATACTTAAAACTGCACTCCTTAAAAGTATTATATATGTCGATGAACCAATAAATATGCATTCACATGGCATGTGAAATATCAGCATCAATAAATAAGTTATAACCATACAAATAAATACAAAAATGCCAAACGAAAAACAAAAGGCAAACACATTATCATTGTATACATACAGTGTCCCAAGTAACAGTAATCAGCAAACCTCAATGCAATCAAGACTGCATACTTTAAATTAACAAGGTCCCTATAAATAGATAATACAAGTCCTAAGTGGTAATTACAGTCAAACATACACATATTTAGCTGCTTAGGATCAGCCTAATACAACATAACATAACATTATTTTAATATAGTCATTGTAAGTGTTGGTAGGTTGGTGTAAGCATGAAGCTCAATGCACACCTCCCATCTCTTAGTTTTCTTAACCTGTCATGTCCGTCTGTAATAAAATATAACGTTGGCAGAGTAGAGTTGCATTTTATGTAAATAAGACATCAGTGAAATCAAACACGTCAGCCAAGCAGAATATATGTACATGCATCAAATTCATGTGAATGAATACAATCCAGTTTGAGTTAATGCTTGTTTATTGTTCAGGATTTATGATATCCCCCATCAGTAAATCTTCATCTGTCTGTTGTAGAAATGTACGCTCCGAGGAAAATCAGAGAGGTGAGATAGAAAACAACCAACGTGGATCCTTTTTCACTGTGTTCACATCCCTATACATATTTTCTTCTAAGCTATACATGTTGTTTTCTGACAGGAAATGGCTCCATTTCCACAACAACCAAGATCAGAACCCAAGATTTTACCGAGGGAACCCAGCGTCCCCAGAACAAGTGAGTCATTTCCATCTAACTCCTTAACCTCCATCAGATTTCAGTGTTTTCTTTGCTCGATTTCAATAACATCACCCAATCCTTTTCCTTCATTTCCTTCAGCATCTTTGCACAAACCCTTGTCCGTCCAAAACGTGACTCATATTGAAGCCCCCTGGGAGAATGTCACCCTCAACCGCTGTCTGTTTGTGGTCATTTCCATCCTGGTGTTCACCTCCGGCTTTCATAGGCTTCATGGCAAGTAAACTGGAAGTAGCACCACAGTTACAACATGACATGCCTGTTGTGACTGAGTGGTCTCTTTTGAAAAAACAGAAACTCTGCGTGGTAAGAGGACAGCAGAGGAGGAAGAGGAAGAAGTTGGTGTGATAGTGAGACGTTCAGGCTCATTACGACATAGAGGACAGCCACCCGAGGTAAAGACAGGATTCACCTATGTGACAAGTTTATCATCCAATCTCAAAATAAACAGCTGTCCCTATATTGTGTCAACCACTTGCGTTTCCCTCCCCTCTAGCCGGAGACAACTCTTTGGGAAGTCATGTTTTGGTGGCTGCCAGACCTAGACGATGAAGAGGATGAGGAGGAAGATGAAGACGATGATGGACTTGTCAAAAAAGGAAAGTCAAAGAAAGGAGCAGGTCTTAGAAACAAGCCACTGCCAGACAAAAAACTCATGAAGCCAAAAGAAGGGAAATTAAAGGACAGGAGAGCTAAGAAAGCCAGGGTCGAAGAAATCAAAGACATGAAGACAATAGATAAAAAGGAGGAACCTGAAAAAACAGCAGATGAGGAAGATGAGGAGGAAGAAAATGAGGAGGTAAAGCCTGAGAAGACTAAAAAGCTGCAGGAAAAGAAGAAAAAGACTCAAAAGGGATGAGTTCAATGTTTCTACTGTTCCAATTTCCTCTTTTAAATACAGTTGCAAGAAAAAGTATGTGAACCTTTTGGAATGACCTGGATTTCTGCATAAGTTGGTCATAAAATGTGTTCTGATCTTCATTTAAGTCACAACAATAGACAAACACAGTCTGCTTAAACTAATACCACAAACAATTATATGTTTTCATGTTTTTATTGAACACACCATGTAAACATTCACAGTGCAGGGTGGAAAAAGTATGTGAACCCCTAGGCCAGGCATCCTCAAACTACGGACTCCGATCCGGATCCGGACCGAACCACCACTGTCTCCGGACTCTGAGCAAATTATACTTTTCATATGTATTATCTCTCTGTATTATATGTGAGACATCGCCACAACGTATTCGCAACGAGTCAAAATTCTCCGCTATGTCCACTGCAAACAGCGCTCTGCATGTCTGACTGTTCCACTGTGTTCCACCTGTGTGTGTCAACGCTTTGGTCCAATCACATTCAGCATCCAGTCAGCGTTTTTTCCCCCCAAACAATCTGCGAATCAGAGGCACAGTAGGGCGGGTCTTCGCGGACTGCGGGTGGGAAAAATGTGTGTGTCTCTTTCAACCTGTCTAAGTCAGAGCGAGAATTAAAAAAAACAAAATTCAGAGCGAGAGTTAACAGCTCATCTAGTTCCATCTGTACTGTAGCTAGTAGCCTAGTTTCACCTACCGGGGTGGCAACTGACACCCTAAAAATAGGCCTTGCCACCCCAGCTGCCACCCCAGTTGGCAGCTTTGTTTTGAAAGAAAAGTTGTGGCTCATCGGACATTTATGAGAGAAAGTCTCTAATGTCCTAGTGCAAGTGAATGCAGCACAAGATGCACGTCATGCACGTCCCCCGGTCCTGGCGCGAGCGTCGACATACGATTGGCGGCGATTTCATTTTGAACTGGACGGCGCAAAACGAGAAGCATTCGGACCCAAGCACTGAAGGAATGAGGTATTTGTGGTCTACAATGACAGAGAAGAGACTGTCAGTTTGGCTGTACTCAGCATTGAATCAAAACGCACTAAAGCTGTTGATCTTAATACGTTTGTGAGGCGTTTTGCTGAACAAAATGGTAATCGCCGCATTCAGCTGTAATAGACATGTCAACTTGATGCTCTGCTCACGGATGAGCATACACAACTATTAAAGGTGGGGTAGGTACGTTTCAGAAACCGGCTCGAGTGCACTACAATTTGAAAATACACAGCCGAAAATAATTCCTTACAGAGCACCTCCTCCAACACACATGAACGCGCACATGACGTCTGCAGACTGGTGAAAGTGGCCGCCTGGCGAGTCATTGAAGTACTGCTGCAATGCACGCCCAATGAGGGCACGAGATACATTTGTGCGTGCACGAGATGGAAGGCTGACAGACAGGGCGGCAATCCAATCCGTTTAGCCGGGCCGGCTAAACGGATTGGTTGTACTTTTTACAGTATTACGGCTTTCACAGATGACATTTTTTTATGGATTTTTTGTCAAAACTTCAGATATTCATTGCTATCGGGATGTTAAGAGCATTCCATGGAATATAACAAAAAGTGTATCTCGAGCCGGTTTCTCAAACTTACCTACCCCACCTTTAAGATGATGACCTTACGTGTGTAAATATATTTTTTTCTTTGAGGGGGTCTGCCCCCAAAAAACAGTTTTAAGTCCTGAGAAAGTCAAATAAGACAGTGTGGAAAACTTCACTGCCCAGCCAAAAAAAAGTAACCACTTTGATGTAACTAGGCCAGTAGGTAAGGACTTTCCACTGGATAATAACTGCAGTATAAAATAATGCATGACTGAAGTGATGGAGACCATGTTGAAGGCAAACAAAAAGAGGAAATAACAGGTCAAATCAAGCAAATCCCCCTCTCAGATTCCACAGCAACCAGAAGAACATAAATACTGGCTGGTGATTTGATTCATCAGCTTTGTGATGGAATAAAAAATGCACAGTGCATTTCCTTAGCTGTGGGTGAGTCCACTGACACCACTGACAATGCTCAGTTGCTGGTGTTTGTGAGTTGTTATGATGAGGCAAAGGGGGAGTTTGTTGAAGATGTGTTGGGCCTGACGAACCTCAGTGGACACACAAGGGGGCAAGACATTTATAACGCAATCATGGGAATGCTGAATGAAAGAGCGTGCAGCTGCCTTTACTCATAACTGTGCAGCTCTGACACTGCGACTCTGAGGGGTCAAGCACAGAAACAATAACAATGAAAACTGCTGCATACAGATTATTTTTGTTTTTGCAACCTCGTGTTAAGAATCTTGTTGCAATTGTTTAAAAGTTTGAATGACCGTAATAAACGGACCTTTGTCTTATTGAAACATTTATTTTGGACCTTTAAGATTTGTATTTGAGTACCCCTGCCCTAGGCTAAAGACTTCTTCAAGAGCTAATTGGAGTCAGGAGTCAGCCAACCTGGAGTCCAATCAATGAGACGAGATTGGAGGTGTTGGTTAAAGCTGCCCTGCCCTATAAAAAATACACACCAGTTTTGAATTAGCTATTCTTAAGAAGCATTGCCAGATGTGAACCATGCCTCGCACAAAAGAGCTCTCAGAAGACCTACGATTAAGAATTGTTGACTTGCATAAAGCTGGAAAGGGTTACAAAAGTATCTCTAAAAGCCTTGATGTTCATCAGTCCACGGTAAGACAAATTGTCTATAAATGGAGAAAGTTCAGCACTGTTGCTACTCTCCCTAGGAGTGGCCGTCCTGTAAAGATGACTGCAAGAGCACAGCGCAGAATGCTCAATGAGGTGAAGAAGAATCCTAGAGTGTCAGCTAGAGACTTAAAGAAATCTCTGGCACATGCTAACATCTCTGTTGACGAATCCACGATACGTAAAACACTGAACAAGAATGGAGTTCATGGGAGGACACCACGGAGGAAGCCACTGCTGTCCAGAAAAAACATTGCTGCACGTTAGAAGTTTGCAAAAGAGCACCTGGATGTTCCACAGCACTACTGGCAAAATATTCTGTGGACAGATGAAACCAAAGTTGAGTTGTTTGGAAGGAACACACAACGCTATGTGTGGAGAATCCAAAGGGTTCACATACTTTTTCTTGCAACTGTATGCTTCTACTTAGACTCAAAAGTATTGCTTCCAGATAAATGACCTCAATGTCAATATGGTAGATTTTGGCTCCTTTGATGGACAGATATGATTTTGTGTACTGACAGTTTTGTTTTATTCAAAATTCTGACTGCTTTATTTAAACCTGTGATCATTTGGAGGCCTTTAGAGGAGAAAGATCTACATGTTTATTAGATTGCTTATCAATCGCACTAGCTCAGTTTACTGTCAATACAATTAAAATAAAAGTTGACCCACAAGGCTTGTTATTTCATCAAGAGCTGCTTCAAAAATATTTTTTCCCCGTAAAATCAAGCCTCTTTCCTTATCAGCCTCTTCATGCCTTAATATTTCTGCACTGTTTCTATTTTCATGTGCTATAATCCATTCGCACAATCCCGGGACACGTCAATTAACCTTAGTGTGTTTGTGTGTTAGCGTTATGTCTTTGTAAAAACACAGATTCCAATGCAAATGTTTTTTCACCAAAGAATTTAATTACAAAAAACAGAATGTTAAAAGATGAGCTATTCCCAATCATAGCTCCACGTCCAGAAAGTAAGCATTTATACAAAACAGTGGGGTCATACGGGCTGCCCTACACATTTACATAAATCAAACTAATGTATAAAAATCGACTAGATGTAGACTTTAAACGTCATTGAAAGCAATCACGATCAGCTGGTAGGGAATCAATTATTAGACATGAGGCTCTCAGGAGGAGGCGGCCTCATTGGCATGGGGGGCATGGGCATCTGATGGGGCATATGGGGGTTACCGGGGGCACCAGGTGGGAGAGGGGGCATCCCTCCTGGTGGGGGAGGGGGCATATTATCATTTGGCTGGCGATGTCCACTCATGAGAGGAGGAGGACGCTTCACACCAACAGGAGGTGGGGGTCCGCTGGACTGGGAAATAGCTTTCTCCATTTTGAAGTGGAACTGTAGGAAGAACTGGGAGGAAAAATAACACAGACAGGTTAAACACATATTTTCTCATTCCTGAAATAAAACATAGTGGTAATAAATGTTAAACGGCTTCTAAGTACCTGTTTAGTTTCTCTGTTCCAGTGGGTCCAGAAGCGGTTTTCTGCTTTATCAATTTCTCTACTCGGGACCTGAAAAAGCAAAGATGGTGATGTTATGTCTAAGAAAAAAAGACTACAGAGGAAAATTAAAGTGCGGTTAAAACTCACCTTAAAGGCAATGGTCTCGTACGGTTCAGCAGCCAGAAGCAGATACTGCCAACGGCGATCAGGGGGCTCGATGCGCTGCTCGTAAGCAGACATAAAACGATGCCTGGGTCCAATTCCTTCAGCGATCTCTGGGTAGTCAATCTGATGAACAGAGGAGTAAAAAACAGGTAACTTACAGACTTGTTTTTGAAAGTAAATAATCAGCCAGTGAAAAAAATGTGTTTGAACACAGGGCGATGGCTTAATTTGGTCAACAGGACCAAATGTGTCTGCTCGTCTGTTTTTAGGTTTGAACCAGACTATGTACGATAACAGGCCAAATACATCCACAATATCTGTCCTACTGTACCAGAGAGTTCTTTCAGATTAAGAAAATGTTCGTTTAAAAGAAGTACAGTATATAGCCAGCCTTGGGAGAGAGAATCAAAAACCTAGAAAATACCTATTTACGACTATTTCATCAGAAGTAGGATGTAAGCCAATGCATTTCCTGTAACTTTCTTATAAGCCAACTTTTGTTTTTCCAGTCAAGTCATTTTGATGTGAGGCTGCAGCAGTAGGAAGTGTTTGGTTTGCATTAAGGACTTGATGTAACAATGTTTCCAGGTAAGTAGCCACAGACTAGACTTGGTAAAAGAGGAAATAAATAAATATTGCAATATCAGGCTAATTAATATAGTATAGTATATATAATTAATAATTAATATAGGCTAATTCACCAATGTGTAACCGCATTAGGTGACAAATAATAACTTAATATTATTAACTCATTTTTTTTGAATTCCCTCCAAAAGACACTAACCTGGAAAAGTAGGGACTGCTGTCCGGTCTCCGAGTCCCTCTGTTTGGT